TCATATCGTTTATGAATAATCACTTTCATTTTTTTTATACCCCTATTAAACACACATATCCTGATGCAGTTCTCTAATGAAGCTCCTTCTAGGGAAGACCTAGATTTTCCTGGTGGAAAAGTCAATTTTACCCCAAAACTAAATTTCACATCTAAAACTATAAAGGAAAGGGCTCATTGTTATCGAGTGTTTAATGAAAAGGACATATAATCATGAATAGTGATTCAGTTCAGGTAAATACTAAAACTTGACTTATTTAATTAACAAGATCAATTCTTTATATTTCTTAAAGGTATAAAGGATCTTTTTGTCTTTAGATGCGTTCAAATTTTTGATGATTTTTAATCTATGAAAGTAATTATAAAAGATCATAAAAAGTAAAACCTGAGGAAAGACAAAGTCATTGATGTTAAAAAAGATAAAATGATATTCTTCCTTGTCTTTGTGCCTCATAGAAAATAGTATCCATAACTTGCAGTGTTGCCATGTCAGCATACATTTTCACAGCAATTTTTTGTTGATCTGTATGTTGAAAAGACATAAAAACGATATAAGAATTTCAAACTTTAATAATAAAAAAACGATATATTTATAATATTGATGATTTAATCTATGAAAGTAATTAAAAAAGATCATAAAAAGTAAACCTGAGGGAATGACAAAGTCATTGATGTTAAGAGTTGCAGCTGATGCAATATTGATTGCCTCTTCACCAATTGTTGTCAAATAAAATGATATTCTTCCTTGTCTTTGTGCCTCATAGAAAATAGTATCCATAACTTGCAGTTTTACCATGTCAACACATTTTCACAGCAAGTTCTTTGCTGATCTGTATGTTGAAAAGACAAAAAGATCCTTTATGCCTTTAAGAAATATAAAAAGAATTGATATTGTTAATTAAATAAGTCATGTTTTAGTATTTACCTGAACTGAATCACTATTCATGATTATATGTCCATTTTCATTAAGCACTTGATAACAAGGAGCCCTTTCATCTTACTTTTAGATGTGAAGTTACTTTGGGGGTAAATTTGACTTTTCCACTGGAAAATCTAGGTCTTCCCTTGAAGGAGCTTCATTAGAGAACTGCATCAAGATATGTGTGTTAATAGGGGTATAAAAAAATGAAAGTGATTATTCATAAACAATATGCTTATGAATGTAAAGTTCTGGTAATCGCAAAATATCAAAAAATCATCTATAGATGCGTTCAAATTTTTGGAATAACCTAGCAACTTGTGTAAAACAACTACAAATGGACATAAAATATATACGAGAAAAACGATCTTACATCCATAGCATCGAGAATCAAGAGAAGTAACTTCATAATTAGGAGCAATAAATTCACCTTGACCTCCACTCGATCTTCAGCTCAAAAAGTGAAAAGAACAGATCGCACCTTCATATTTTTATAATCAACAATAATGAAGCATTGATCAGTGGTAGATTTCAGATCAAATGATCATCATTGGCGATGATGAAACTTGGATTGATGGTGGATATTAATCTGGGAGGCAGTAAGAAGACGCCAAGGGAAGAACGTGAACGAGAATTTGACACCATCTGGAGGTGAATCGAGAGGAAGGAAGAGAGAGATCTATGAACACTATGTTCTCTCTCGATCTCTCGTTGATGATTTCGCCGGCGAAGGAAGCACCATGGCGGAGCGATGAAGACTTCTTGTGTGTAAGAGAGAAGGGGATAGAGAGAGAAAGATAGAATCGGTAAGTAATCAAGAGGAGATTTGATTTTCTGAAATTAGTTAAATTAATTATTATGAAATAATATATGTTATCCCTAATATACCTCCGATCAATTGTTTAAAAGTCTAATATACCATTAAAAGTGTTGATAATTACAAGTATGCTATCTTTGATCTAAGCCTTTAAAAATTTTATCTAACGTCCCACCTTTAGTTCTCGGAAAACTATAAGTTCTCAAAAAATTCCTTCCTCTCTCTCTCTCTCTCTCTCTTCTATATATTATATATATATATATATATATATTATATATATTCAAGGTTTACGAAATTATTTCTGTTATATATTATACAAAATATAATAAAAAATAATGAGGTATATGTTAAAAAAGGACACGTCAATAATATATGGATACCCTTTTGGCCATATTATTTTAAAATTTTCAAACACAATAAAATAACATTTGTTTTGTTGGGTTAATAATTTGATAAACACTTTTGAAAAACGATATACATAAGTTGAATAAGCAGTCCAAACACCCTCTTGAAACTATAAAACTAAATAAGTTAAAGAGCTACAATGTTACATGCATAACTTTCAACATAATTATATTAGATAAAAATAAGTGTATAATTTTATAGAAATAAAAAACACGTAACATCAACGTTATCACCAAGTATAGGTGGTTTTCCGATTTATATTATTCAAAAGTGCATAATAATTCAACAAAAACAATTCCATCTGAAATTGACGCAAAGTTTGTACTCGTAAATTAACCATGTTAGGTATCATATCAAGAAGTGGTTATTGAATAGCATTGTGTAATGCATTAGTTAATTGTAACTAGTTGGTTGATTATTAAAAGGAGGGGTGACATCAATTAATTTTGGTGTGATTTTATTGTGTAAAACATCCAACCATGCAATATGATCGCCCGCTTTAAGTTCAAAGTTTGAACCCGACCTATTGTACATATCGACCCAAACCAGAGCATCTGAGCAGGGACCACAAATATACCCTTGATCAACTGAAATGGATTGCTGCGACAAATCAGGTATAATAGCTACAAAACAAAACAAACCAAATCGATGGTATTTATAACAAACAATTAATTTGGCATATAAATATTACAATAAAAATGCATACCAAAGTGTAAACATACTCCTGCAGGTATAATGAACCTCAAGTCCGTGGGAACCAACGTCCTATTCCGACCTGGTAATGTGATCGTCTTTGCACTGGATCGAATTAAACACAAACAAAAAAAAAATATTAAACAATCAGAAATGAAATTATTGTTGGAGATTTGTTCTACAAATTACAATGTGGGACTTGTCCCATATAGGAGGAAGAGAAAACCTTTTCCCACATTGTAAGTCTTGTCCCACTCATTTATTCAAATGAATCAAGTAATGGGTTAAGCATCTTGGGTTTGGGTTGTGGTGTTGGACTAGTCAAATTGGGCTAGTAGTAGGCTTGGACTTATTAAATATTAATGGTCAAAGATAAGGTCTTAGGCCTTTAGGCTCTTCTTGACTAAATAATATTTTTTATATATAATCCAAAATTAATTAGTAATTAATTTCAACTAGGTTCTGAGTTGCGTGTTTCTTGGGAAAAAAAGGGGAGGGTACTCACACACCTTGAAATAATACCACCACACGGGAAAACAGCTTGCTCTGACACCCTATTCACAAGCACACGAGGCACTTGTTGAGTGTTGTTTGCCATGGCTGTTATCCGATGCTGAAATGAATGACACTTGACCTCGTTTTGGTAGTAATTAAATATTGGCCTTCTAACTGATCCGCTAATTTAATTACCTTATTACCTGAGACACTAATAACCAAACAAATGATCACTATATCACATCTAGACAAATGGTTATTGCATGTTCAAACAAATTTCATGACTAATAATCACAAAGATATCAGGATATGAAACGAAACCCTAAAGAAACTGAATTAATTGATAAAATGATCATCCCCAAACTGAAAGGTGAAATTTATACTCAAAATTCAAACAACATTGCATTTAATTCACATTTAGATCACCAACCCAAATACGCATGCATCACGTTAGACTCAAGACGTACAGACATAAAATCATGAGTCAGCAAAAATCGTAGATAAGTTACATATAAATAAGAAGATTGATGCGCCGCACCAATAACTAAACCCTAAAACTCATGAAAAATAACGATTTATTCAATTGAGTTAGAAGCACAAAGAGGGTAAGAGATGTTAAAGGAAGAGCGAAATCGAGAAACATACCTTGCTTCGCTGATCTAGATGGAGTCGTGTTGGCGTGAGACAGAAGAATAGACAACTAAAAGTAGGGTATTAACTATTTTACGTTGAAGTTATTTTTAGGGTTCGTGAGTTAATTAGGAGTTGTTTATGTGACAAGTCTTCAAAATAAAAGAAAACTAATGCATGAGTGTTTTTCATAAAGCTTGTAACCGGAAAAAACTAACTACCAATTAATAGTATTAATTTAAATCATATATATATATATATATATATATATATATATATATATTATATGTAGTTAAGTTTATTAAAAAAAGGTTATTTACTCATCTTTCCTCTCTCTTTCCTCATGGTTTTCTTCTGTCCTTTACTGAGATGATATCATGAAATTCTCTCCTCTATCTAATACTAAAATGTTTTTTTATGTCATGTGTATTTGAGTTACTCTCCTTTTTTTTAGATAATATTTTGATATTAGGTTACTGAACCCTTGTGGGTAACTGTGTATCATGATTATTTATTTATTGCTCAATTTGACGTATTCTTCCTTTATTGCATTTTTAAAATATCGAAATGTCAAAGGTGACACAGTAACTCTAGCTACCCCTATTAGATACATAATTATCGATATCTACATTTCTATTTCCAATCTTAATTTTATTGTTATTTTATTGTTTCTGTTGTTGTTGTTTTGTGTTTTTATATATATGTAAGTTACGATTAGACTATTTTTGTAACTAACTTTTTTTTCTTTCACATCATCACATGGTGGAGCTCAAGAAGAGAACATGGAACGGGTTAAATACATTAAAGATAAGCATTAAGTTTAAAGTTGCCAATATCAAATGGTATGGAGTTGGCATTTAGTAGATTTTCGTTGTGCTCTGCGCTGCGTGGCTTGTTTTGAATCTTTGGTTGCCTACTCTTTGCCATTGAAATGTGTCTTGATAAAATCATCGAGATTGTATTTAACAAACTATATATAATATATATTATATTATATATATATATAGATATATATATATATATATATATATATATATATATATATATATATTGAAACAACAAATCTAATCTACTCTTAACTCAAGGTTCTAGAAAGTTTGTCATGGCTTCGTCATGGGCCGCCATGGCTCCAAAGCTTGTATCTGCCGCCACACTTTAACAAAATGCTGCCTTAAATCAAATATGTATATAAAAATGAATTACAGTATATATATATATATATATATATATATATATATATATATATATATATATATATATATATATATATATATATACAAAATTGTCGACTTAAGCCACGTCTTACGAACGACATGACTCACCACAACTGGTAAAAGCTTGAGGTTTGACATTGTCGCCATGTCATGCCTAATGTTATTTACAGCCTTGCCTAAACTACTCCTTAATTCCATTTATTTCACGGTGGGACTTGAACACTCAACCTTAAGGAAAGAGGGCAACACTTGATACCGTAGGTCTAGAAGCCATTTGGTGCTTAAAATATTTGTCAAACCAAAAAGTAACTTATAAATCATTTTTAAAAAACTTGCATAAAATAAAATTTCAAAGAGCTTATGAAGTTTTTCGAAAATTCTTACAAATTTACGAGTTTTCCTTTACAAAAAAAACATTTATCATTTTCTTTCCTGCATATATAGATTTAAGTGAACATACAAATTGGTTAATTTAAATATTTAATCTTTTATCATGTATGCATAAATTAGATTCTCTTAATATTTTCCAGCTTTTGTTTATATTCTATTTTTTTATCAAACAATCAATCATTCTATTTTTCATATACATTGATACAAAATGTTCCATCATTTTACACAAAAGTTAATAAATCTTAAAAACTATTTCTTAAATTATTTATCACCCAAAGTAATATTCATTATAAGTGTATAATAAAAATCTCACTTTAAAACGATTATATTTAAATAAGCAAAGTCGAATTTAACTATTTTTATTAAAATGATTATTAACATGAATCTACATTTGCAAATACACATAATATAATTATGGCATTTAGCCTTTATAATATTGCCAATAATATATGGGATGCAAAAAATTTCATCCAAATAAATACTGTGAAGAACTTTTATTTGGTAATTACTGTAATTTAATGAAATGTACGTGTGTTTCTTAAATGACTAGTAGCATGAACAAATAAGCACCCTTTCCACACTTCAAATCTTGTTGGACCTGAGGTATTAAACCTTACCCTAGTCCACCACAAATATATGTATTACTAGAAGTGTACATGAACAAATTATGGCAATTTACTACCCAAACATGCAAATAGGTTATTAGGTCAAATTCTCAGATTTTGACCTAAAACAGCAGTCTGTTCGAGGCCACTTTAGCATCACTTAAACCTATAAAAATTTCAACTTTATTCTATATTCAGATATTTCATACTTTTATCTTTAAAAGTACTACTTGCACAGGTCCAACCGATTTTTCTACAATTTTCTATGAATTTTACAAGACAGAATGTCGGTGCAGCTAATTTCCGACCAGTCAGTGAAATAGACGATTTTCACCTTGGTTAGGGACAATACCAAGTCTTGGAAAAAATCATGGACAAACTAAACCCAAAATTAAAACTTTGAGAGTTTACGGATCATAAATACGACTTCTGATGATTTTTCTAGATTTTTTTGAAAACAGGGACAGATTAGTAATTTTTCATAATTTTCCCAGCATTGCATTTTAATGGTTAATTGACAACTTAACCCATTAACGCCACAACCAAAATCAACTATAAAGATGTAAATCGAGTTCTTAACAGTAACAACATGTCAAGAAGTTAAAATAACAATTCTAACCTCAATCCATGATTCAAAGTACATTGTTTATATGGGAAAACAAAGTACTTTGCTAAAAGTGAAAACACGACTAGGGCTTGAGTTTTCTCCACCATTAAGCCACGTTAGGGACTGCTTTGAAGACCTTTTGGATGGTTCAAAACATGGCCTTTTTATAGAAAGATACCTCATGAAAAATCACTAGGATTGACATAGAAAGAAGCATGAAATCTAGCAACAAAAGAAAGGCATCGATTCCATGACTTTGAGCAATTCTTGCACATGATTAACAACACATTGAGGAGTGTTCATAACAAGATTTTGACAGCCAATGAACCACTAAACACACCCAATAGGGCTGAAAAATTAACAATACATAACTTCAAGAATTGAGACTAGGAAGCATTATGATCAAGAGTGTCAAATAAAAAGCAATTGACAATGTTTTCAACCAATTCACACTAATTGAAGATGAATTATCATGAGAAGAAAGACCATAGGCTTACAAAGAGGAAGAATCGATCTCCAATAGCCTCAAGAAATTGTAGTATGAACACATGAAGAAGAAGGATCAAGAACTTACCAAGAGTATTGATCAATTACTAGACTTGATTAGAACCACAACCGATGCTTCCTTCCTTCTCCTGCCGACCGAACACACTAACCCAAAAGTTGTCGACCTCTCCTGCCTTGCCCTCTCTATGCGATCGTTTTTTTTTTTTTTTTTTTTTATATATATAATTTCCACTTCTGGTCCTCTATGGCAGCCCAAGGGAAGGGTTAAGCCCCAAGGAAGAGTTTGGGTTGAATAGTACTCGCAAGAAGAAAACGGGCATGGGGAAAAAACGAATGGAGCCTTCATATTCATTAAACACATGGACCATTGAATTACAGAAGTTTCAATTCGATTTTTCAAAAAAACTCCCTACACTTTCATGATTTAATTACTAACAATCATAATCCAATTAGTTTGGCAATCTAAGTTTCTTTTTATAACAATTTAGCCCCTCAACCTTAATTACACTAATAAAAAGAACTATATTTTAACCTATTTTCCACAAAACCAATTAATTAAATTATATACCCCTTCAATTTAAATTAATTCTTTTAGGTATTAAATATTATATTTTTTTATTTGATTTCTTCCATTTTAACCCTATAAAGCTATATATATATTATATATATATATATATATATATATATATATATATATATATATATATATATATATTTCTTCGAGTAACTGAACGTTAACGTCATTGATGGAAGGATTTTCGAGTCGTTACACCCTCAGCATTAGCACCGGTACAATCAATGTCAGGAAATACTGGATGAAGAGGTTGTAGATCAATAAATGATAAGTCCATAGCATAAACTTCATGATCCACATCCGACTCATCAGGGATGTCTTTAGTTTTTAGTTCTTCTTCAGCAGAATCATTGGTCGGAGTGTTTTAAATTAAATTCTCCCCCTTTTTGGAATCATCAGTTTGAGAGGGAGGCACCAGATTAAGTGAAAGATACTGATTATCATCAATAGAGATTAGAGGAGGACTGCTTGGTGGTGGTGGATTTGATGGAGGAGGCAACATGGATGTAGAATTTCCGCCAGAAGAAAGAGCACATTTAGAAACAGGTGGCGGTTGTTGATCATCAGCCGAAGAAGACTGATTTCCTTCATCCTCAGTTTCAATGTGAGCGCTTGTAACAATAAACTTGATCTCAGCGACATCCATTTCGATTGTGGAAAGACTCTGATTCATGTGGGAGGTCAATTAAACAAGAGAGTTCCGTTTTGAGAGGTCGTTCACTTGAAAATCGTTGAATTCTACAAGTAACTATCTAGTTGAGGTTGCTCCCCTGAACAGTTGCTCGAGTGGAAAGAACTTGTTGAATAGCAGAGCGCAGTTTAGTCTGAGCTGGTGATGGATGATCATACTCTACTTCATGAGCATCATGGGTACAAAATAGTGATATTCGAACATGATCAGGAGGTGAATTACCTCGACCATGATCCGTGGCAGAGTAATCATTGTGTTGAGGTGGAGGAATGTCACAGCCCAAAACCAAGAACGGCGGAAACGTTCTGGGGCGGAGGACGTCATGTAAGTATCACAACAATGCAAAGTAGTAAACAAGCAACAACATCATCCATTGCATTAATAGTATAATTTTAATTACAAGTGTGTTCTTTCATAGTATAAAACAACATAATGAATACTCAAAATAAAAGACGAGTCTTGACTGCTCCGTCTTCACAAAACCTGGTCGTCGTACCTGTCTATTTGTGACCTAAGAATACAAGTTATTTTGAAAGCGAGTATCAGCATTAAAGCTGGTGAATTCATAAGTATTTATGTGTCTTTGATTTGTAAAACTGTAAAGAAAGACTTGTAATTGTTTGAAGAGAAGTTTGTATCAATGAACATGTTTGTAAGTAATTGTAAACGTTTGAAAACCCTAGAAAATCCCATATTTCCTACTAGTATAAAAAGTAGTCTTCTACCAAGACCCGACTGTTTTGAAAGTAGCCTTCTACCAAGACCCGACTGTTTTGAAAGTATGCATCACTGTAAATGTGACGGTTTTTCCTTTGTATAACTATTATTATTATAAAACTATCGTCTACCTCATCGTTTATGTGCATGTCTCACAATATAAAGGTAATAAGGAAAATAGTCTATCTATATCAAATATATTCTACCTCGTCATTCATGTGAATGTGTCACAAAGTAAAGGTAAGAAGGAAAATAATATAATAACTAAAATTGTATCCTTTTTGTACTAGGATATTCACGGCGTGGTAACTCGCCGAACAGTACAACCATAGACACCCGTCGATGAGCATTTTCCCTACTGTAGCTAACAGCCTTGGGTGTGGAATGGTAAGTCCCGAAACGTATGTAATAGATTCTATGTAATAGTATCTATGCAAACGTATATATGTAAACGTATCTATGTAAACGTATCTATGTAAATGTATCTATGTAAACGTATCTCCTGTAATTGTATGTCTTGTAATTGTATGTAATCGTATCTCTTCATATAGTATGTAATGTATTAGTATAGACTCATGAATGAACTTACTCTTGTGTGATTCCTTGTACTTGGAATAGTAAGTAGTATCTCCTAACTATACCTATTATAGTTACTAGTAATGTACGTGTATAACCGAAGTATGCCTTTGCAACCCAAAGGTACTGAACTGACTAATGGAACTTTTATGTCTATATATGTATACATGATATATAACTAATATTTAGATGACATTCAGACGAATAACTGATGCCCTAAGGCCACATCCCAACAAGGAAAAGGAAATAAAGCGAGCCAGCCGTCCTAAGTCATTTAAACATTACTTATATAACTATACATATATAGGCATGCATTTGACAATGTAAAAGTATAAAAGAAGTTTTGTAAAACCTTTGAAAAGTTTAATAACTAAGAAATGATGACTTGATGTCAGTTTGTAAAATGATTTGAAAGTAGTTTGTTTGATAAGAACAGTTTTAAGCATAAGAAAACCTTTGTTTGAAACACAATTGTAACAGAGTTTGAAAGGAAACATACACTATGTAAGACAGTTTGATAAAGAGTTTTAACATGTAGAAACGTTTGAGAAAGTCATTTGAAGTAATATGTTTGGTAAAACAGCTAAAAGTGTAGTAAATCCATTTGTATGCTAGTTATTAATCACATGTGATTGATCTACTAACTAGCATGATTCAACTTGTATTCCCCCCCCCCCCCCATAAAAGCATTTATAAACATTTAGAAACATTTAAAGGTTAATTAAGGGGTATGAACTCACCTGCAGTGAGTGGATCGTATGGAAGTGTCGGACAAGTGCTTGGTGTTAAGTAAAGACTTAAACACACATAATGATCCTAATAACATATAAAGACATATGTATAAATACAATTAGTGATTGTAACACTAATTAGACAAGTATAAACATCCTAATGTGAGGAAAACACTTTAGTCAAAGTGTTAGGAGGCCATTGGGTTGCAACAAAGGATTGCAAGGCATCGTATTTGAGTTTATGGTCCATGGACCATACTTATTGGAGTTTACAGCCCAGGGGAGTTTACTCCTGGCCGTAAACTCTCTAATGGGGCTCCATTTGAGGCTTAAAGGTAAGGAGTCTTAAGTGGTTAAGTGTTCCAAGGCTTAAACAAGAGGCTAGGTGAGTTTAAGGTCCAAGAATGACCTTAACTTGAGTTTACGGCCTGGAGACCACTTCCCCATGCGTTTATGGTCGTAAACTCATGGTGTGAAATACCAATTCGTTTCTTGAAGTCCCTAGTTCAATGGTGGTTGGTTCTATGCTAAGCTCTAGTCAATTGGAAGGGGGAAAAGGCATCATTGCACCCTTATAGGGAGTTTACGACCTTGGGAGATCCGTGGCCGTAAACTCTCATTCAACCATTGATCCTTGATGATTCTAAGCTCTAAACATGTTAAACCTAGTGTACAACGAGTTAGAACAAGAGTACTTACGATCTAGGAGCTTGAATGGTCGGTTTTGGCCAAGAACACTAGTGTGTGTTCTTGGTGTTCTTGGTGAAACTTGAAGATCTACAAAATGGAATGATTTCACGGATGAAATCATGTAAGATCACTAGTTCATGTAAGATATCAACTAATTAGGACAAGAAGCTTACGAGTTTTGAAGATCGGGGACGAAGATCGGGATGGTACTTGAGAGGATTTCAGCCAAGGAAGTGAAAGAATGGAACAAATGGCCAAAATATCAACATATAAGAGGAGTTTACGGCCCACATGGAGTTTACGGCCGTAAACTCCCATGTGGTGGCCGTGAACTCCTTGTCAAGGAGATCTAGACTTGTTCTTTGTACTATAGATCCAGTAGATAAACTCCGATACTTATCCCTTAAGTGTACAAGGCTCAGAACGCTTAAATAAACTCCAAATTGTGCTAAATGATAGCAGGAATGAGTTTGACTTTCAATGAAGTGTTAGACTAAACAGGATGGAAATTTTCGGGTTTTCACATCATCCCCCTGTTAGAGGGAATTTCGTCCCGAAATTAGAATTTAGGTAAAGGAGTAGATGTGAATAATCAAGTCAAGAGGTGGGGATACTTACTAATCGATTGAATCCTCGCGCTCCCAAGTGAATTCAGGTCCTCGATTGGCATTCCAGCGAACCTTCACTAATGGTAAGCGAGTTTGCTTCGTTCAATTGAACTCTCGGTCCATGGTCACTATGGTTCTTCCACGAAGGTGAGGCTCTCGTTGAACTCGATCTCGTCGAGTGGGATTACAGGAGTCCTGACGGAAAGGTACTTTTTCAAGTTCGAGACGTGGAGGGTAAAATGTACGTTACTGAGTTCGCGAGTAAGTTGAATTTTGTGAGTTACAGGGCCGATTCTGGCAAGAATCTCGGAGGTCCTAACTATCTTGGATTTAGCTTTTCATGCTTTCTGAAGCGTATCAAGCCTTCCCAGGTGAGATTTCCCAAAAGAGTATGGTCTCTCGCTTGGGATTCCAAAGGTTTCTTTCTCTTGCTTCTCTTCCCAGTCAAGGGTCACTCCCTTCTGGGTCAAAGTCGTAAGAGGTTCCATAATTCGCGAGGAGTTCTAAATGAACTATGACAGTAGGTCAGCGAGACCTAGAATTTAGCGAATTCCCGTCGGCGTCTTCGGTGTTGACAAATTCTCAACGGTTTTGATTTTGGAAGGGTCCTCCAGAATTCCCTCATCACTAAAAATGTGCCTTAGGAATTCGACTCTTCAATTCAAAAACTCGTATTTAGAGAACTTCGCGTAAAGCTTCTCTGATCGTAATGTTTCCATGGTTTGTTGTAGATGCTCTTTATGATTACCTTCTTACTACGAGAGTAGATAAGTAAGTCATTTACAAGGACAATGACGAACTGATCCAAGTAAGAATGGCATACCCTATTCATTAAGCTCATGAATACTACGGGCGCTTTAGTCTTACCCGAGGGGTATCACTACGGACTCGTAGCGTCCGCATCGAGTTTGGAAGATTGTCCTCGGGAAATCCTTCTCTAACACTCGTAACTGGTGATATTCGGATCTCAGGTTCATTTCTGAAAAGTAATTTGTTCCATGCGGTTGGTCCACCAATTCTTCTATGCGAGGCAGAGGGTAATGATTTCTAATGGAAATCTTGTCGAGATCTCTGTTAGTTGATGCTCCTACGAAACAATCCGTCTACCTTCTTGAAGAATAATACCGGAGCTCTACAGGGCGAGGAGCTTGGTCTTTCAATTCCATTGTTGAGTAGTTCGTTAAGTTTGACCTGACAGTTCTTGCATCTCCGTAGGTGTTAGACTGAAGGGCGATCTGGTTAGAGGAGTCGTATTGGGTTCTAAGTTTGTTCGCATGGCGATGCGATTACTCGTAGTCTTGGGCAGTCTCCGTCCTGAAGTTCACATTAGAAGTCGTACATGGTTCATCAATCACAATATCGTGTATAAGAGCCGTATATAATTAAGATTGAAAAGGTAGTCGAATAAATGATTCTTCTTTAAGCTCACATCCCAACGAGGAAAAGAAGTTAAAGTGGAATCATCAATTCTAAACCTGTAGAACCTTGATTATATACCACCCCTGTGTATACATTCTTCAGCGATAGATTAACCGTACGAGTCTTTGGATTGAACTTGACGTACTGTACGAGTGGTACTTCGGGGAGGTTTGCTGAGGTTTCTTCGGAAAGTATAAGAAACATGAGGTACTCAATGCATGAGTACTTCGAAGTTCTATAA